TGGTCTTCCCTATCCTAAAAAAACAAACAAGCAAACAAACAAAACCCTTTCCATTGACTCTAACATCTCTCACCCCAACCTATTGTCTGCTATATTCACTTTGAACTGCATTTCACTGTTGAATTTTTAGAAAGTCATGCCCACTCTACCTTCCCCTTCTCTGTAAAAGCAGCTTCTGTTTCCAATTTTCCTATTTTTGTTGAGGACACCACTATTGTTACAGGCCCTCACACTCCAAACCTTGAGGTCATCTTGGACTTCTCTCTCTCACCACATTCATGTCAATTCTGCTTGCAAAATCACCGTTATAACTATCCTCTCCTCCTTACTAACACCTCCATCACTCTAATTCAGGCCTGCCACTACTCTTTCCTCTATGCTTTTGTGTAGAAAGGATAGATAGATAGATAGATAGATAGATAGATAGATAGATAGATAGATTTTATAGAAACTATTGGCTCTGTTCTCTCCCCTCTCCAGTCCCTCCTTCATACAACTGCCACAATTGCCCCACAATCTTCCTAATGCACAATCTTTGTCACTTCTCCACTCAAAGGCCCTCAGCTCCTTGTCTATAGGATAAAATATAAACTCCTTAACCTGTCATTTAAAGGCCTTGAGAATGTTATTCCAAACCACCTTTTTCACACTTATTTCACGCTACTTCCCTTCAAGTACTCTACTTTATAGTCAACCTTGATTATTTTTCTTAAACTTAGCATTTGAGTTTCCCCATCCCTGGAATACACTCCCTTCATTTCTACCTATTAAAAACTTTCTATTTCTTTAAGGAAAAGTTCAGGTGCCAACACCCTTCATGAAACATCTCCCCAGTGAACTTGATTTCTCTCTCCTTAAAATTTCTACAATATTTTTCCCGATTTCCCTTTTGCTCTTATCACTTTCTTCTACCTTGCATTATGTTTAACCATGTACATGTTGTCTCTCTCTAGTAAATGCCTTGACATAAGAGGATATTTGTTGTTTTCCAGCATTGTTATCTCCAGGGCATTGTGCATTAACGGTACATGGTTAATAAACATTTTTGATCAATCAATTAATAAGCATTTATTAAGTGCCTACTATGCGTCAGGCACCATGATAGGTGCTGGAGATGTGAACGAGGAATGAAACAATACACATTCCTAAGGAGCTTAAATGAATGAATAAATGAAATATTCAAACAAAAGCAACAATCTATCAATTTGCACCATTCTCCCAGATACCCAGGTTCACAACCTTGGTGTCATCCTGTACTCCCCACTCTCTTTCTCTGTCACCACTCATATATAATCTGCTGTCAAGTCTTGACCTTGGCAATATCTTTAACCTGTCTCATATGCTCCCATTCTCAGTACTGCCCTACACCATGCCCTACTCACTTCATGTCCTGACTATTGCAATAACTTTCTGATAGGTCTCCCTACCTCAAGTCTCTCCCCATTCCAGTCCATTCTCCATTCAGCAGTCAAATTGATCTTTCTAAACTGCAAGAATGACCATATTACCTCTCTATCCAATAAACTCCATTGAACTCCCTATCACCTTCAGGATCTAACATTAAATCCTCTGTTGATGTTCAAAACTCTTTATAACCTGGTGTCCTTTCCAGTCTTCTTATACCTTACTCTACCCCACATATTCTTTGGTCCAGTTAACATTGGCCTCTTTGCTGTTCATCTCACAAAACAGTCCATCTCTTGATCCTAAGCATTTTCTCTGACTGTCTCCCATGCCTGGAATTCTCTCTCTCCTAACGTCCTCCTCTCTTAACTTCACTGGTTTCCTTCAAGTTCCTGCCTAAAACCCCAGCTTCTACAAGAAACCTTTTTCAATCTCCCTTAATGCTAGTGCCTTCCTTTTGTTGATTTTCTCCAGTTTATCCTGAGAATATCATTTCTGAACATATTTTTCTGCATGTGGCCTCCCCAATTATATTATGAATACCTTGAGAGCAGGTGATGTCTTTTGCCTTTCTTTGTATCCCCAATACTTAACACAGTTCCTGACATATGCTAGATGCTTATTAAATGGTTGTTGACTTCTTGACTTGCTGAAGGTAAATTATAATCACTTGAAAAAATGTTCAACCACCAAAGAAATGTTCATTAACTACCCAAGAAATTAAACCTGAAAAACTTCGAATTATCCCCTCATATCTTTTATATTGGACAAAATAATTCTGTGAATAATTATGCAAAAAATACAATGAGAATGTTGATAGACTTACGCAGAAGCAAGCATAGTCATGTATCAAAGATGGAACTGCAAATTGGTAGAATCTTTTAGGAAAATAATCTAGTTATATGCTATAAATCTTACAAAAATATTCATTACCTTTGACTTAATAATCATATTGGAAATATAACCTTTGCATATTAAAAATAACAAAAACTAGTTATTAAGTTTTTAAATAGTAGCATCACTTGTAATTGAGGAAAAACTGAAAGAATTAGAGTCAAATTTGGGGGAATGGCTGAATAATTGTTGGCATATTAATGCCACAGAATATTATGATACAACTAGTATTCTATAACACAATTAAATATGAAGACTGTAAAGTAAACTGGAAAAATTTATATGACTGTGACAGTAATACATATTTATATGCATTTATACATATATACCTATATATACACATATATTATTATTGTACACATAATGTTAATGCATATCAATATTTTACTATATTATTGACATGTATATATTATATGTGATAATAATACATATAAATATATAATTACTATCATAGTCATATAAATTCTTCTAGTTCACTTTATAGTCTACATATATAATTGTATTATAGTATTCTATGATATTGATATACTAACAATTATGTATAATAATTATATACAACTATATAATTCTATGTGTGTATATATATATGTATACAGACACACATATAATATATATTTATATGCCTATATTATATATCAGATAATATATACATATAGAATATCTTTATTTGGGAAGGCCTAAGTTCCCTTGCCTTTGCTTTTTCTTCTCTTTTCTAGAAATTACTGTAATCTTCCTTGCTTTGTGCTCATACAACACAAAGGAATTTCCTCCTCCCCTAATTCCTTTTCCTCCAACCCCCACCTCTCATCCCCAAATCCTAGTATCTTCCTGCCTGTGACATCAGAGATAAGAAACCAATCACAAGTACCTTCATGAGACCTTGACCCCGCCTATAAAAGTCATAACTCTTGATGGCATCAACCAACTTTCCTGCTTCAAAGGACTCTGGTAGACACTATTTTTGCTTTTATATTTATGTCCCCAGGACTTAGCACAGGGCTTAGCACATATTAAACACTTAAAAAGATGCACTTTCTTTGATACATCCATTCCAACTCTGTCCCTTACTACTTGTATGACCCTGAGCAAGGCACTTCATCTCTCTGAGTCTCAGTTTTTCCATCTGTAAAATAAGGGGGTAAAATGAAATGGTCTTTAAGGTCCCTTCCATCACTAAATCTATGACCCCATATGCAAATATAAATGGATAAAGAAAACTGAAAATCCCTATCCTCAAGGAGGTTACATTCTAATGGGACCAAAACAAGAGGAAGAAAGGAGTTAACAAGGTTCCACCTATGTTAACTATCTCCACTTTATCCATTACATACATTATTTTTACATAGTTGTTTGCATGTTCCTCTCTTAGATTGTGAGCCCCTTGAGAACAGAGGCTGCTTTTGCCTTTCTTATTATTCTCAGTGCTTAGTACAGTGCCTGGCACATAGCAGGTAATGGCTGACTTGACTCAAGGTAGCTACATCAAGTTCTTGGCACTCATTGATGAATGAGATACCTGAGTGCTTAATGATTCCTGAAGCAGGAAGCCATCAAGAATCATAACGTTTATGGGGAGGTGTCAAGGAATCATCAAGTCCAATCCATATCTGGTAAGTAGTGAATTTTCCCTCACCAGAGATCTCTAAGCAGGGTGTAGATAACTACTTATCAGAGATGTTATAGTCTTGAATCTTGTTCAGGATTGAACTAGATGACTTCTGAGGTCCCTTTCCCCTCTGACATTCTTTGATTCTGAGAAAACATCCACAATATCTCTATTATCTAGCCCTTATTGAAAACCGCCATTGAGGCTGAACCCCCAAATATCCCTAACCTTCTGAGAAGTTTTAAGTTAACTGCTGCTGCTAGTTTATGTTTGTTAATTCATGCTTTTGAATTTCTTATGTTTGTGAGGAAGTTCAATTTATTTTATAGACCCATAGCATTTGACTAGGTCTCCTCAGTCACTCTGAACACACTTTCCATGAACCATCTAAGGCTTTTAAGGACTGTTCTACTTAGCCTAAAGCCTATGCTTGATTTGATTCAATTGAGTTGTATTCTTACCTCATTAACATACTGGAGTTTTACTTTATTTTATCATTTTATTACCTACTTCAAGTAGGGTGGGGCAATTTGATTGATTCATTAAATCATACCCTACCTCTCCTATCTCACAATAAAATAAAGTTTCTTACGCTAGAACTTTACAATCCAACCAAAACCAACTCTAAGTCAATGAAAACTGTCTCAAGAACCTCTCTGCAAGAGTGCATAGGTCAAGAAAAAAACAGATAAATTTTTATGCTACCCCATAAACTCTGCTTTATTCTGGCTCTAAAGAACTGACTTTGTTTCATTGAATCTGACAGAATAAAACCAGGACAACACTGTATTCTAAATCTTTTTCCTTCTAAAGAATGGACATTTGGTGAATATGAATTGATGATGATTGTGATGGTGGTAATAGTGGAGTTGGTAGTGGTGGTGGGGATGTCTAAAAAAGTTTCAAGCACAGCTTCCTCCCCAAAACCATGTCTTCCATAAACCTTAAAGAAAACCAAAAGAAGTAAAATATTTTGTCATAGTTGACTTTGGGGAGGAGATTCAGGCTACTTAAGACAATTTGACCAAAGGCCAACTGATAATCAAAATAAAAGTACTATGAAGAAAAAGCTAAGAAAGAAAAGGAGCCCACATACCTGAAAGTATAATTCCCAGGAACAAGATTAGATAAATGCAAGACTGGGGAGTCAGCTGATGCCTTCTGTTCTCTTAGGGGCCCTTTAATTTCTTCCCAGTGGTAGCTCACGATTTTAGCATCATCTGTACTTTCTATATAAAAGATTTTTTTAAAAATCAGAACTAACATGAAAAGAAAGAATTGAAGAGGCAGATAGTATTAGACAGAATGCCCTAGTTAAAATCCAGGCTCTGCCATTCAACATTGGTGTGACCTTAGCAAAAACCATTTAATTTTTCAAAGGCTCAGTTTCTTCATCTGTAAAATGACACAGTTGGCCTAGATAATCTCTAAGGTCCTTTTCAAAGCTATATCTTAGGATTTCATAATTAAGACAAGATCAGTTTTTTACAATTCATCTTTCCAGATGTTTTTGGTATATACATATTGGAGTAGCTACATGGCAGAGTAGGTAGAATGTTGCACTTAAAAGTCAGGAAATCTTGAGTTCAAATCCTCATTAAGATACTTATTAGATATGTGACCCTGGGGAAGCCATTCAATTTCCTACCACCACTCTTTCCTCATCTGTAAAATGGGGATAATAAGAATATCTATCTCACAGGGTTATTGTGAGGGTCAAATGACAGAACATGTATAAATTATTTTGCAAACCTTAAAGTGCTTATAAATGCTAGTTATTATTACATAGATATACATTTCTTTATTTGAGGATATAAAATTATCTGAACATGTAATAATTATATAATACATCAACTCAAGAATCCAATATTTCATTGGTGCAGGGATTCTCCCCATTGCTGTGGATGGAAACCCTCAATACTTTAGCAGGTGGTCTTCATTAGTTGCTGCGGCAGAAAAAAATAGTTCATTGCCCGGTGGCCAATATTCTAGTAATGAGCCTCAGGCTCATCCTTCCAAGTCTGACCATTGGAAGGCAGCAATGTTGCCAGGTCCATATTTTCATAGCTTGGGAGGACCTACTAGTATTTCTCTTCTGCTTCAAGAAGCCTTCAAGGACTGAAACGTCAACTCCATGCCATATGACAGGGAACGCAGTAAAGTGTAAAAGTTGTTGGATTTAGAGTTAGAGTACCTGGGTTCAAATCCTGATTCTACTACTTACAGCTAGTGTGACCTTGGCAAATTGATCGGGCCTCAGTTTCCTCATCTGTACAATAAGAGCATTGGGCTAGGTGGCCTCTGAGGTCCCTTTCAGCTCATTATCCTATGAGGCACTAGAGTAGGCTCTAGTGGAGGAAATACAAAGGGCTAACTCTTTGTCCTCACCCCATCCACACACACGGAGAGCTATCGGCAGTAGTCTTTGCCCCAGATTTCCTGCAGGTATTTTTGTGAATCGGATGGAACACTGGACTAGGAACCAGAAGACTTGGCTTTAATTCCAACCCTAGAACACGCCTTGCATCCTTAGCCAAGGTGTGCCACCTGTGCCTTGATTTTCTCATTTAAAAAATTATATTGGGGCAGCTAGGTGGTGCAATGGATAGAGCACCAGCCCTGGAGTTAGGAGGACCTGAGTTCAAATCCAGCCTCAGACGCTTGACACATACTAGCTGTGTAACCCTTGGCTAGTCACTTAGCTCTGATTGCCTCAAAATTTAAAAAAAAATTTATATCGCCGGACTTGATTATTTTTAAGATCTGTTCAGCTCCAGCATAGTATAGTGTCAAAAGCACTAAATCTGGCACAGTGGGTAGAATGTGGGGCCTGGAGTCAGGAAGTCCTTCGTTCAAATTCTGCTTCAGACACTTGCTCTGTGACCCTGTCCAAGTCACTTAACCTCTATCTGCTTCAGTTTCCTCATCTATAAAATAATAGGTGATAATAATAGCACCTACCTCAGGATTGCTGTGAGGACTAAATTACATAGCATGTGTAAAGCATTTTGTAAACTTAAAGTACTGTAAATGTTACTGATTGTTGTTGTTATTATTACCTTCGTTCAAATCTTAGCTCTGCTACTTACAACCTGTGTGGCCTTGAAAAAAATTAAAACCTCCGTGGGCCTCAGTTTCCACATCTTGCAAAGTGAGGAAATTGAACTCGGTGCTTTCTACAATCTCAAATTCTCTTCTACCCTGAGTTCCAATTACAAACATCAAAGGCTATTTTTCTCTTTTAAATATTCTCAATAATTGATATTCTTACTCAACACAGATCTTGTTTTTATACTGCTAAAGAAAAAGAATTGTCAACACTTATATCATATTCAAATTAAATTGCCTGGTCCCTATAAATTTGGCTTCTGTTATGTTCAAGGCCAGTTCAAAATACATAAAAGCATTAATGACTGAATTGAACATTCATCCTGCTGGATGGTTTAATGGGGAATAATTTTCTCCAAACAAATCAAGGAAACCATGCCTCATTAAGCTTACCAGCTAGGCAAAAGTTTTTGATCAAATAGACATAAAATGCTAACACAGGTTGTAACCTAAGCTTGTTTAATGAAGCCATGGAGACACCACATGCTCAATTGATCCTCACTGTCTGCTCAGTCTCCTTGGAGCCCCTGTTGGTCTTACTTGGGATGCAATCTGAACACACACAGCATTAAAAGACTATACCACAAAAATGAGTGTTGAAGGCAATTCAATTCAATCTATTAAGTGCTTACTACACTAATAGACACTATGCTGAATAATGGGGGATACAAAAACAAAAATAAAAGATCCCATCCCTCAGGGAACTTACTTTCTACAGAACAACACCGCTAACATTTCTCACAATTCATTCTCCTCAGTGAGATAGAAAAAACACTGGGAAAGGTCATTTTATTTAGAATTATTTTACCTCCAAAACAAAGATTTGAACCAAAATGTCCTGGTAGATTAAAAAAAATTATTTAAATGGCGTAAAACCAAGCCCCAAACAAAACAGGGGAAACATAACATAAAATTGAAAGAGAAAAGCCCAATTTCCTTCCAGCTCTAAATTCCATGCTCCCATGGAAAATGTCTTACTATTCCAAAATCTATTAAATTAGCACACAAGCACTATTGTGCTTAAGGAATGACCCAAATACAATAATTCTAGCATTCAGAGCATGCAAACTAAAAGATGACCCAATAAATACATACGACTGCCATCAATGAAGGTTGAAGTAGTGGGCAAGAAGAGCTCTTGTACTTGGGGAGAAGCTACTGCTACCGGGGACTGATTGGTTCTCACTGCTTTGTGACCGAGAAAAGAAGAACGGAAACCAAATTAAGTGCAAGTTGCATGTATAACATTCATTACCACAAAAAGCCAGTGTTCTGTTTTCTTTTCCTAGCCTAGTGGAGATGATGCTTGCCTAGTAAATCCCACCCAGTGAAGGTCTCTTTTAAATCTTCGGGCCTCTCTGTGAAGTTCAGAAGCCTTTTACCTGGAGTCTCTCCTTTTCTTCCCAACCTAACTCTGGCTAAAGTCTTCTGATGCCCAAGTCCTTAGCCACTAAACATGGTCATGCTTGGTGCTACAATAGGAAAACAGGGGTCTCGGGTTCTAGGTCAAGCTCAAGAGCTACCTGGCCAGGTCCCCTGTGTCACAGGCAATCAAAGGAAGATCTACATACAATAGTTATTTTTGTTCAGGGACATTCTAAAAGCATAGGCTTCATTATGCCTTTTTAAGGCAGCTTGGTGGTATGGTGCATGAAGTGCTAGTCTTGGAGTCACATGGGTTCAAATTCTCCCTCCAACATTTACTCAATGAGTGACTCTGGACAAGTCACTTTACCTCTCCCAGTCTTAGTTTCCTCATCTGTAAAATGGGGAGGGGCAATAATAGCACCTATGTCACAGGATTGTTGTGAAGATCAAAGAAGATATATCTGAACTGCTTTGCTAATCTTAAATCACTATATAAGTTCTGGCTGTTTGCACATTTACTATCTGGCTTTAAGGTAGAGGAGACAGGTAAGGATAGATTGGGGCAGATTTGAAAACTCTACAAATTTTCTCTCCTCTTCCAATTGTTCACCTGGAAGCAGCTTAAAAAAATCACTATATTGGGAAGAATGGGTAAATAATAAGGAATGGAGGTAGGGTTTGTGGGAAAAGGGGAGAAAAATCCATGTAAGAAATAGGAGGCAAAGATATTTGGTTCAGTCAAAAGTTCAGATGGACAATTGTTATAAATATTACCCAGGTGCCAGTAAAGTAGCAGATGTTAGAAAGAACATAGAAAAAATACATTTTTGCTGCACTATTTTAGTACCAAAGAACAAACTCCACAGGAAAGATAAATGAATATATTATTGAGTCATTCAGGCTCATGGAAATGATTAATGAGCTTGAACCAACAAGAAGCCTCATCAAATGGACCACTTAGCTGGATTTTCTTACAATGACTTACCTGGCTTAACAGTGACATTTACAAATCCTTCTCCAAAAGCATTTTCACCAGAAACAGCCACTTTGAAGGAATAAAGGCCTACAGGCAACTGTAACACATAGAAAAGTCACTAGTTACAGAGACAAACATGTCTTGAGAAATAGAACATTCATCACCTAGAAAAGTCATAAATCTTATCTACCTGAAGGCATGGCTCAAATGCCTTAACCACTTTCTCAAAGATGGAACATGAGAAAGGACTCACTGACAAATCTTCAATTCGAGTCCAGAAATTCACCAGACCCCTAAAGGAGATTGAATGTCCCAGGAGTCCTTAAAAAAATCCAACAGAGCTCTAGGGCATTTAAACAAGTAAAGAAGAACCTGTGTATAAACATCCTACTAGTTGATGAAGTGTTCAAATTAGCTACTATCATAAAAGATGAATGAATGAATGAATGAATGAACATTTATAGTAGATTTGCTATGTGTCAGGCACTATACCAAGGGTTGGAGGTACAAATACAAAAAATGAAACTTTCTCTGTCCTTAAGGAGTTTACAACCTAAGAGGAGATAACAGAGGAGTGGTGGCCAAAGAAGGGGCATGAAAGCAACTTAATTCATAATCACCTGGTAGAGAGTGAAAAAAAATGGTTCCTAGTTTGTGGGAGTAGTTGGTGCCACCTCCACATCCTTTCTTCTGTTTGGTACTTACATGTATTATAGGATAATATGCACTATATAAAGGGATTTGTTGTTTAGTCATTTCAGTTGTGTTTAACTCTTTGTGGCCCCATTCAGGATTTTCTTGGAAAAGATATTGGAGTGGTTTGCCATTTCCTTCTCCAGCTCATTTTACAGATGAAACTGAGGCAAACAGAGTTTAAGTGACTTGTCCAGGGTCACATAGCTAGTAGGTGTCTAAGGCAAGATTTAAACTCAGGAAGATAAGTCTTCCTGACTCCAGGCACAATGTACCACCTAGCTGCCCCATATAATGGGATTAATGGATTGCAATGTCTTGGCAAACTCAAGAAATGAGCCTGATGGAGAGCTGGGGACACCAGGTCCCAGAATCTATTTAACTCAGCTCACAGGGGAATAGCTGGAAAGTAGACAATAAATGCTCTGTAACCTGACTTCAGTGAAGAGCCAGACACGACTGAACAGCTGTAGTCAACTCAAGGAACAGGGTTTCCTGCATGAGAATAGCAATACTGAAGGAAATCAGTAACAAAGTCATTTGATTTTTTTTTTTAAATCTACAACAATGCTATCCACATTCAGAGAGAGAACTGATGAACTCTGAATACAGAGTGAAGCATTTTTTTTTTAAAGCAATTGATTTTTATTGAGCAAGAACCAAGGTACCCAAGAAATTTCCAGTCTTCTCGTAGCCAAGCACTACATAATGATGTCAAGCACCAGGGTGGCTTCTATTCTTACTATTATGCACTACACAGGGATCATGACAAATATCTAAATGATGTTGAATGCAATCATACAATACAGTTCCCATATAAAACAGACAAGGGGCCCATTTACAGGAAGGACATTTTTGTGCATCTACTATCCCCAAACAGGAACACAAAATGAAAACTGTCAAAAAAAAAAAGCAACTTTAGGGATATATCTGTACAGGCGTGTTTTTATTTGAATTGGTTCCACTAGCAACAGTTTATGATGACTATATAAAATTTCAGAAAGGATCTTATTTATGTGTAGTAAATTGACATTGTTCTTTATCTAGATACAGATCTTGATACTGAGTCTCTTGTTGACAGATGTGCAGTCAGTTTGTCTCGGAAATCATGGAGATAATTATATTGCTTTATGGTCTATATGGCCCCAGATCCACTTAAATCTCCAAGGTTGTCAATTGCCTGCTGCGGTGATCCTGTATCAGATATATATAGTAAGAGGCATGCTGCTACAAGACAAGATAGCCAAGTCTTCCATAACAATGTATTAAGGTTTTCCAGTTATTTTCAAGACAGACTGCAAGCTCCTATAGGATTCCACAACATCAGTCTGTGTCAGGCATATGTCCATCTGGGATGGGATAGTGGTGAATGATGATTCCACATTGCTGACAGAAGTTTAAAAGGTTTGGTACCCAATATTTTGACAGTTCTCCTCTGGTACAGAACACAAATATATCTTGTATATCATAGTTCTTTAGTTCTTCCATGTCCTTTTGGATATTTCTCCTAACAACTTTAAATTTACAACCTGGAAGAGAACATAAACCTAGAAACTGAGAACAATTCACAAGGGATAAGGGTAGCCATGATACCTGAAATGGAGTCTGTTCGTTTTCAACTGGCTCTTCATTGGATGAGTCAAACTCACTCGTCTGCATGGTACTGGGCACCTTCGTTACCTTCACAGCCAGGCTGCTGGAAGCTCGACGTCAAGCACGTGTGAAGTATTTTTAAACTTTATTTTTCTTGCTTATTTTTTTTTTTTGCAACATGTCTAATAGGGAAATAAGTTTTGCACAACTTCACATGTATAATAGGTATTATATTGCCTGCCTTCTCAATGGGAGAGGATGGAAGGAGGGAAAGAATTTGAAACTCAAAAAAATTTTAAATGAAATGTTAAAAAAGTAAAAATTATATTTATTTTTAGTTTTCAATAATCACTTTCATAAACTTTTGAGTTTTAAATTTTCTCCTCCTCCCTCTCCACCTCCCTCCCCAAGACAGTGTGCAATCTGATATACATTTTACATATACATTCCTATTAAGCATATTTTCACATTAGTCATGTTTTAAAGAAGAATTAGAACCAATAGGAGGAACCACAAGAAAGAAGAAACAAAACAAAACAGAAGACAAAAAAAGAGCTAATAGTATGCTTCAATCTGGATTCAAACTCCCTATTTCTCTCTCTGGATGTGGATAGAATTTTCCATCATGAGACCTTTGGAAACGTCTTAGATCCTTGCATTGCTGAGAAGAGCTAAGTCTATAAAAGGTAGTCATCTCCAACATGGCTGTTACTGTGTACAATGTTCCCCTGGTTCTGCTCACTTCACTCAGCATCAGTCCATACAAATCTTTCTACATTTTTCTGAAGTTCACCTGCTCATCATTTCTTATAACACAATAGTATTCTGTTACATTCATATACCACAACTTGTTCAGCCATCCCCCAATTGATAGACAACCAAAAATTAAATTTAAAAAAAATAATAAAAATCTATAACAGTCAGAGTTCCAAAAAGGGACCTTTCAAGGACTAAAGAACCCAGATGATGTTAGCAGAAAGCTAGGACTAAGAGTAGAATACGATGAGGCTACATCCTACTTACCTGAGAGAGATTAAGAGTTTGCATGTATTTTTGTTCAATTTCACCCTGATAGTCCATGGGGTGGCTTATCAAACTCCATTCATAGTAGTAACTTGTTTCTAAAAAGGAAAAAAAAATCCATATTTAAGAGTTGTTAGCTTTTCTTTGTGTGACAGTTCATATACACATTAGGAGAAAGGGTGATAACAATGACCTCAAGCCAAAAGGTCCGATATTGATACTGGCCTCAAATCTTTGAGCTCATCTCCAAGTACAGAACAACAGGTTTTATATCTCTGAAACGAGATGATCTATCTCATTGCCATCTGATTTATTAGAGAGCTTGAAATAACTTTACAAGAGGTTTTCTACTAAATCTATTACAAAGGATTTTCCTTAACCATTTTTTTTTTGTGTTATGGACCTGTCTGGTGGCCTGGTGAAACCTACGTACCCCTTCCCTGGATAATGCTTTTAAGTGGATAAAATGAAATACATAGGATTAATAAAAGAAACCAATAATAATGAAATACAGTTATCAAGATAGTTTGAAAAACTAAGTTCCCAGACCCCAAAATAAGAATCCTTGCACTAAAAAATCCCCCCAAAACTAAAAACTAAAAAAGCATCATCTTTTTTTGCTGCTACAGGTTTTAGCCATAACTCCACATCTCCCTACCTCCCCCAGGTGGGACATGACCCCAGGCTACAGGTTCTGCTGACATCCTCAGCTCCACAGAGATCTGAACCAGTTATAACCTTGCCCTTAGTACAGGGTTTGTTTGTTTTTCCATTGTTTTCTACAAAAAAATAATATATAGCTAATCTCTGGTTCCACCAGTTGAACTAACATTCAAGATTCTGCCTGTACTATTGTCAGCTGAAGGAGAGAAACTGGGATTTAAAGGCAGAAAAAGATAAGGGCAGGGTAATTCGCAGCTGGGGCTCTCCAGAACTGTAAGGAACAGCTAAATGACTTGGAAGTTAATTGCCTCAGCATTCCCACCAAGGTATTTGAGGTGGGAAGAGAACTAGTGTTATCAGACAAGAAGAGATCAGCACAAGGACAGGGAGCGAGGTAAGGAAGCCAGGTCCAGTCAAAGGGTGTAGGCTGGAAGAGGCTGGCAAAGCACCAGGAAAGCACAAGGTACAGGCACAATGGTCCCACTCTGGGGAAGAGGCAGATTCCCCCTGGAGGCTGACACCCTGGGCCAAAGTTCTGATTGCCCTACTTTATGGACCTAAGCAAGGTTGTTCACAGGTACGTGTATTGGTGCAGGATTGACGCAGCTGCTATATCACAGCCCACACAAAGCATGCCCAGAACTGTAAGAATTAAGGGTGACAAAGATTTGTTTCAGATCCATCTTAAAGCTGGCTTTCCAACTTGGACTAACCGAGCTAATTCCCAGCTCCTCATTCCTAAAGAAGGGGTATGTGGCACAGGCAGTAGAACCAGGACCTCTGTGTTTGTAGTAGTGAGCCCCTACAGGTACCTACAGCCACCACACCGGGATACTCTAGATTCAGTCCTTCTTTCCTTCTACCACCCTACATTCTAGACCACAGGTGGGCTTCTTCTAGGGTACTTAATTACAACAGAAAAAGATAGGTCCAGATTGGTAGGAAAAATGATGAATCTCCGAAAGTGGTCATGGGCAGCTAGGTAATTAGAAAAAAAAAATACTATTAAGTGGTGGGGCAGGGAAAAAAATTCCAAATGAGATCATGAAGAGTTGGACATGACTAAACAACAACAAAAGTGATCACATGTATTTGAATTCACACTAAAAGGTAAAATTATGTAAAATATGGTCATTGGTTTTAGCTCATAGGAAATATGCAGTGCAAATTCTAATAATATGATACTTTAGGGGATTCATTACTCCCACTGATCAGGGCCTAGCTGTACATCATCATCATCATCATCATCATCATCCATCATCATTATCATCATCATCATCATCATCATCATCATCATCATCATTGCCCACATTCATATCATGCTTTAAGATTCACAAACCTCACAGTCCTGAGAGATAGACAGCATAAGTATTAATACCCTTCTTACACCCTACTCTCCCCCATGTACTCTGATCCAGTGTACTAAGCTTCCTTGCTGCTCATCTCACAAAACACTCCATCTCCTGACTCCAAGCATTTTCTCTGGCTGTCCATGCCTGGAATGCTCTCCCTCCATATCTCTACCTCTTGGCTTCCCTGGCTTCCTTCCTTCAAGGCCCAGCTAAAACCTCACCTTCTACGAGAAGCCTTTCCCAACCCCCCATAATGCTGGTATCTCCCCTCTGTTGACTATCTCCAATTTATCCTGTACAGAGCTTGTTTGTACACAGTTGTTTACATGTGACCTCCCCCACTAAACTGTGAGATCCTCAAGAACTGGGGCTGGCTTCTGCTTTTCTTTGTATCCCAAACACTTAGCACAGTTCCTAGCACACAAGTGTATACTAAATGCCTATTGATTAATTGAAAGGGGGAATTCTACCTAGGAAATTGCTCTCTGGCTGAGGTTCATAGGATCCTAGGATTCAGAGTAAAAGGGACTTTTGAGATCACCTAGTCTAATCCTTATATTGCTAATTGTAACTCCTAATTGGTGGTGGTGGGGTTTTGATACTGGATCTAATGTCAGGGAAAACTGATTTCCAATCCTCCTTCAAACACATATTAGCTGTGTAACCCTGAACAAATCATTTAACCCCTCTGAGGCTCAGTTTCCTTATCTGTAAAAGGAGACTATGAATAGTAGTCTGTTGTGAGCATCAAATGTATGTAAATCGCTCTGCAAACCTTAACTGCTATGTTTGTTCAGTTGTGTACAACTCTTCCTGACTCCATTTGGGGTTTTCTTAACAAAGATACTGGAGTGGTTTGCCATTTCCTTCTCTAGATTATTTTACAGATGAGGAACTGAAGCAGACAGGGTAAAGCGACTTACCCAGGGTCACACAATTAATGTATGTCTGAGGCCAAATTTGAACTCAGGAAGATGTCTTTCTGATTCCAGGCCCAGCACTCTATCCACTGTGCCTCCCAGCAAACTTTAAAATGCTACATAAATATCAGATGTTATTATTAACCACTAGTTAATTGCCACCTCTGTTCTCCAGGGGAAAAAAAATGCAAAGCATGACTCAAGTGAAGACGTTAAAAGAAATCCATTCCATATATACCTCTGAAAAAGGGCAAAAAAGACACTACCCCTTTCTATCTTTTCATCATAATTTCTACCTCAGCTCAGGGGATTGAACAAAATAATCTTCTTGGCTTGTGAAGTTACACAAATCTTATGACACACCAATAAAAGGGAAAAAAATGAATTTGGGAATTAAACTGAATGAAAAATTCCCAAATTTCCTTTAAAAATGAATATGTTCCATAGAGCTCACAGAGGAACTAAGCTGTTGGTGCATCATAACAGAAGTATGAGTGATATAATAGAATTAGTGCTCTCACCAAAGTATTTTCTACTATCTTGTGTGAAGTCATCTAGGAGGTTCAGGGCTACTCCTTCTACCCTATAGCTTTTGCAAACTCCCACGTAAGCCTTCTGACTGATTCTACTACATCCCTCCCCACATCTCCCACACCTTCCTCCCTTCCCCCTACCTGTGTATGGTGGATTATCACAGGGCAATAGCTAATACATAGAATAGATAGGCCTCAAGGTGCAGGTTCCCCACCCCTGGACTAGAGAAAGAGGGAGCTAGGTGGCCCAGTGGATAGAGTGCTGGCCTGGAGTCAGGAAAACCTGAGTTTTCCAGCCTCACTTATAAGCTATGTAACCCTGGGGTAAGTCACTTAACCCTGTTTGCCTCAGTTCCTCATCTGTAAAAAATGAGCTGGAGAAGGAACCACTCTAGTGTCTCTGCCAAGAAAACTCCAAATGGGGTCACAGAGAGTTGGACTCCACTGAAAAATAACTTGACAACAAGAAGCCTGGAGAAGCCCTAAAGGCAAATAAATGAATTCTGCTTAAGCAGTCTGAATACTTTTTAGACTCCTAAATGAACCGCTGAAGGAAAACATGTAAATGTCTGCTTATACAGATACAAAGCACATATGTGTGTGTGTGTGTGTGTGCTTACATGGGAATATAGTTCCCCTAAAGTAGCTCTTTTCACAAAAGCATTTTTTTTTCCTCTCAGAGCCAAAATAAATCAGGCTCATAAGTGGAGGAAAAAGGAGTCTTTAATCAGGATAACAGGATAACAAGCCTGAAGCCCTGGGGTCACCCACGTCTGAATACATGGATGTCCAACATGGAAACTTACAGGAAAGGTTATTATACTTTCAGGAGGAAAGGAAGAGGTGGTCATATGAGGTAGTGAGGCCTGACCATGAGACGCCATCCACCCTTAGCAAACTGGGCAAGGAAACCCACTGGTTTTTACCCTTCATGATCTAAAGCCCCTCCCAATAAAAGGAAAAGGACATTAGATGCTAAGATTCAGCTCAAGTTGGGTTTATTTACAAGGTAAGGGTCATGGCTCAGGGTGGGGTTCAACCTAATCAAGAGTACATACCAGAAGAGTAGGAATACCAGGACATTACTAGAATTCGGTCATTACTAGGATTATTTAAAGGGAGTGGCAGGTAATAGATTAATGTTCTTTGACATTAACTATATTTCTGTCAGTCTTCAAAAGTGATATAGATCCCCACAACCCAGTCCACTGAGAAGCAACCTGTCCCATTTATCCATGCTCACCCCATCAATGGTTTAGGAAAGGGTCTGCAAACAGGAGGAACACCCATCTCACCTGAAGGGGGTGCTGGAACAACAAAGGCCTTCAGCTGAACGTCGTTTTGGGGTAAAGTGATCAGTACATTGTCTCCAGCAAACACCGTGAGTTCTTTGACTGTAAGTTAATTACAAAGAATATGTGAACAGCACATTAAAAATCACCCAGTCTTCAGCACAGTGTACAGAGCAGTAAGCACACAGTAGGTACTTAATACATGTTGACTGACTGATGGACTGGCCCAAAGAAAATCAGACTATAATCATTTAAACATACAAACACACTCATTTATTTCTCCATCCATGCCAATTGTGATAGGTATTATTTTACTTTTTTAATGTAAGGTACAAATATGACTGAAATATAAAACCATATGTGTTTCTCAAGCTCCAAACATATGTGTTTCTCAAGCTCCAAAGTGGCAATAACTTTGTGAATTAAAAAAAAAAAACCCTGAATTAGCAAGTCAGAGAATCTGATTCAAATCCTGTTGATGGGGTATGGCCCAAGCTGAGACCTTTGCCCCTTACCCCAAAAAAGGAATTTAGGTCCCATTTGTCTATGGGATTCTCCTTGAATTCTCCCACTTGATCAAGGAAGTCTCTGGTATTCCCCTGAGGCTATAATCCTATCAACTGGCCTTCCATTATTGCCATCTCCCAATTCTCTGTTACCCTTAACCTAGCCTAGCCCTCCATTGTCTATTACCAGAGGATGGCCCAGACCCTTTCCCATCCTTGATCATATCCATTCTACATCCCAGTCACCCCCATCAAGATTTTCCACTCCTGGATCCCTCCCCCATCTGGATATAAGATTCATCTTGTCTCCATTTAGGCGCTCAGATTCCTTAAGAACCTAACCAAGGGCTCAGATTTTTACAATCTAGCCAGTAGCTTACAAATGTTCAGATTCCTTAAGAGTCTGGCCAATATGGCAGATCTTTAAAAAGCCTTGTCTTTTACCGAAAGAAGAGTTGGGTCAAATTCTTTTGGGCAAGAACCGTGTCTCTTGCTCTTGATATTTTGGGGTCCTAGCACCCCTAAAGCTCAACATATGGTAGGATACATATATGACTGAAATATAAAAACATTAAGATTTCCTGTGGGTTTCTCAAGCTCCAAAGTGGCAAGAATTTTGTGAATTAAAATCAGACAACCTGAATTAGCAATTCAGAGAATCTGGTTCAAATCCTGTCTTGCCTGACCTCAGGCAAGTTGCTTCACTTCTCTAGGTCTCAGTTTCCTTGTCTGTAAAATGAGGTGATAGCACTAAATGACCTCTGAGAGCCTGCCTAGTAGACAGAGTGCCAGAATAGGGAGAAAGATCAAACTCTGAGTCTCCCCTCAGCCTCTTACTAGTTGAGGGATCTTGGGCAAGTCTCTCTATGCCTCAGTTTCCTCATCTTCAAAAAGATGGTGTTACATTCAATTACCTCTAAGGTCTCTTCCAGCTCTAAATCTGTGATTCTATGGTCCCTTCCATTCTATGATCCCATGTCCCCTAAGCAGAGTAAGGGAGGGATTAGATATTTAGAATTTAGAATTCTGGTTTACCAGCACTTAAATAGGTGGCTCAGTAAATAGAGCACTGAGCCTTCAGGCAGGAAGACCTGAGTTCAAATTTGACCTCAGATACTTACTAGCTTTGTGACCTTGGGCAAGTTACTTAATCCTGTTTCCCTCAGTTTCCCCATCTATAAAATGAGCTGGAGAAGGAAATGGCAAACCAATCCAGTATCTTTGCCATGAAAACCTCAAATGGGGTCACGAAGAGTCGGACACACTGAACAATAACAACTAACTGGTGAGGCACTGCAAATTCAAGGTGGTGTTTCTCCTACCACGGGATTTTCCCCTACCCCATCCCCACATGTGCCAAATAGAAGGCTCATTGCAGTCATATATAAGGCTTATTGCAACTGTGTTTGCTCCTGTATTATTAGTCAAATATCACTCAGTCTCCTGAGAGTGAATGACCTTGTGAATCTTTGATAATGGCCCTCTTCTTAGAAAGTTTCCAAAACAAAACCCAGTCAAAATCAAAGCAAAAAAAGGCTATTCTAGCCAGACTAACAAAAACTGCCCCATTACCCAAAGCAAGTAGTTGCTGGATCAGCACTTAAAGCAATACTTGTTCACCTTCTTTCTAACTAGGATACTGTTCATTCATTCAAGCAATGTTCCATTTGGCAGGACTGATTTATCCTTAGGTTCACTCATAAAATTTAAGTGGGATCAAGATAGCATGCATGTGCAACACAGAAGCATGGGCAGTCCAGAGATTCTCACTGCTTGGAGGGGATGGGATTCACCACATCTGGTTCAGGAAGCAGGTAAACATTGCTTCCCAACTCTTAACAAGCACTTTATGTGCTTTCCAAAGATCCAACAACAGTTGTCTCACAAGGGAAGCACATAGCTGTCTTTATTGTTAACTGTTTATTTATAAGATGGACACTTTAGCGAATGAAGGTATCTTAGATATCAAGCCCCAGACACTCATTTTATAGATGGAGAAATTAAGGCTTGTAAGAATCAAGTGACTTGCCCAAGTGGAAGTGCTTGCAAAACCAGTACTAGGACCTATGCTTTCTCATTTCTCTAATTAAATTATAACTCCCTCTCTTTATTATTAGTCCTTCTACTGAAGTTCAAGAATAAGCAAGGTCAGAGAGTATTCCCAAATTTCACAGTCTATCAGAATGCACCCAAAATATGGTCCATGATAGCCATGGCCTTCAGTATATCTTTTCCAGTCTTTTTTTTTTTTTCCCTATAAGTTACCTGTACTTGGAGCAGTGGTGGGAGAGGTGATCTGCTCAGTTAGGGTGGACTGAGAGGGGCCAGTGTCAGTGGGAAACACTTCAATCCCATGATCTGAGTTCTGCTGGGTTACTGTTAGAATTGGGCTTTTCTCCACGATGGTTGGACTGAACTCCAGGTTGGCTGAAGGAGGATTATGGGAAGGCATTAGAACCTATGAGATCAATCATAGGGATAAATTATTATGAATAAACCAGTTGAAAATAAGCACACAGCACAATGGCACCTACCTTTTCTGTAAAATGTGCTCACTTAACCATTATGTAAAATGTCAAAGACTGGAACCCCAGACCGTCTCTTTTAATAATAACAAAAACACATTTAAACACTGCTTTAAGGTTTGCAAAATTTTTCCTTGCAACAACCCTGTGATGTAGGTAGTACAAGTATTATTACAAGTACAAGTGTGTTGCATAGATGGCATAATAAACGATAGGTAAAGGGGGAATCTCCACAAAGAGGAAAGAAAGCACAATTCTGATGACCCTTGGAGTTACCATTATGACAATAGTTGAAAATTATGCAAATGACTTAGGACTGGCCAAAGAGACCTCTTAGGTGTATAGTCTCCATTCCAATCATAATATGCAAAGTGCATCCCAAAATGCTTCTACAGAATTAAATTTAAAAGTTTAAAACCTAGAGGAGGAAGGAGGAAATTAAGTATGATAACCAAGCAAGGAAAAACAGTATGGCATAATAGATTGTGTGCTGTACTTGGGAGATTGGAAGACCTGAGATCAAATTCGTCCTCTGATCCTCAATGGCTATGAATGAATATAGGAACTCCCTAAGACTTTATTTACTAAGTTATAGGTGGCATCAAATGCTGCTGGTTTAGGGAGTTCCCACCATGTATGTCAAGAAGAAAAAGTATTTTAATATTTTAAAATGGAGGTGGGAAGAAGCCTTTTCCATCAGCCAGATTGTTTAAAAGTGTGTAAAATGGTGAATCAAAGTAGTTTGAGGAACCCACTAAGAGAGAAATAAGTTCAAGAGAGACAGTGGAATTGTATAAAAACATGGCTTAACTTTTCTATTGTTGGGGGGAAAAAAGTAAGACATTGCTGAACATTCTGAAATTTGGAAACTGGAGACTCAGCACCATCTTCCATTAATATTTCCCAAGTAACTCCCCAAGACACCGCCTCAGCACCCAGGCTATTTGGGAAGGCCACCTGTAGGGAAGTTCAGTGCTCTAAGCAAAAATAAATAAATAAATAAAACCACAGTAAAAGTCTTCAATGGAGTACAGATGTTACTGGTCAATTTCACGTAGTGGGCTTTTTCTATGAATTCTAGCGGCTTCTTGACTTGTCCGTCACAATCTATCTTAACTACAGTCATATCCATGCTGTGGATTTAGAGTCAGAAAAACCTGGGTCTGTAATTCCCCCTCAGAAAATTACTGGCTGTGTGACCCTGGGCAAGTTATTTCACTGTCTCCAAGATTTTGTTTCCTCATCTTACAAATGAGGATAAAACAGCTACCTCACATGGTTGTGAAGATCAAATGACATAATTTACATAAAACATTTTGTAAACATTAATATATAAATGCAAGCTATTATTATATGTCCAAACTTAATTAACATGTATAAATATATTTGTGTATACATAATTATTGTGGCTACATATATTTGTATGTATATATGTACATGAAATATATGCACATGATATACATATATACAAATTCACATATATACATACATATCATATATAAGATGTATCAGTCAAGGAGCAAAAATTAAAATTGGCCTGATAGCCTGGTTATTTTTAAAAGCTAAAGATGTGATACAATGTGCATTTTTTTTAACTTCAAAAATATCTTATTGATAATTATAAACAAAATCCTGGTGAATTTTTTCTAACCTTGCTTTATCTTCTTCTCACTTCTATTTACTTGTAGGATACCTTCCTTTCTTATCCTTCCAAATTGTATTCTGGGAGACTGAGTCATGTCCCTTCTGTTTTCTCTTTTACTTTTTCCCCACTAAACTTTTAACTGCATTTCATTCTTAAGCTCAACAACCTAATTTTATTCTTACTATACAATGTCTCAAAAGGGACAGCTAGGTGGCGCAGTGGATAGAGCACCAGCCCTGGAATCAGGAGGACCTGAGTTCAAATTTGGTCTCAGACCAGACACTTGATACTTACTAGCTGTGTGACCCTGGGCAAGTCACTTAACCCCAATTGCCTCGAAAAAAAAAAGTCTTAAGCATGTGTGTATATAAATATAATAATAGCTGACATTTACATAACATTTATGATACACCAGATATTGTACTGATCACTTTAAAATTAATTATCCTCACAACAACCCTGGCAGGTAGGTGCTATTATTATCCCCATTTTATAGAGGAGGAAACTGAGACAAAAAGAAAGTCAAATTAAAAAAAAAAGAAATTAAAGACTTACTTAGTGTTACACAGCTAGTAAATGTGTAAGGCCAGATTTGAACTGATTCCAGGCCTGGCAACCTAATACTGTGCCACCTAGCTGCCCCTAATGTACAAAGGGATAGATAGATAGATAGATAGATAGATAGATAGATAGATAGATAGATAGATAGATAGATAGATAGTTGGATGACAGATATATTCACATATATCTTTACATATATTTGTTTTCTTGATTAAAAATAATTTATCCATTGAAAAAAGAAAATTAATTACAAAACTGAAATAAAGGCTAAGTGCCTTGCCCACTGTCACAAAGCTAGTAAGTGATATATTTATGTACCTCTGTGTGTGTGTTTGTGTGTGTGTGTGTGTGTGTGTGTGTGTGTGTACACACACTGATTTCTCTGCAGTCATCTCTATATTAACTCTTCTCAAACAATGTGCTCTTTGAGATATTGAGTAGAGTTCTAGATCTGAAGTCAGGAAGATTGACTTTGAATCCTACTTCAGTCACTTACTTACTATGTGATCCCAGGCAAATTACCCTTTCTGGGCCTCAAATTTCCTCACTGGTAAAATAAAGGGGTTGGATTTGATGATGTGTAAGTAAGGTTCCTTCCAGCTCTAAATCTATGGTCCTATGATGCTTTCCTTCTAGCCTATTTCTCTCATTTTTCAGCTCCTTCTCATTCTGACACTCAGCCTTCTGACCTGCTCTGCCTATCTGATATCTCTCCTCTCTCCTGTTTTGTCACTCCCAATTTTCTATTTCTAACACATCATTCCCTTCATGGGAAATCTAGCTCCTTTTTTTCAGCCCCACTCCTAATTCTTTCAGTATTCCTACCTACCAGGGATTAAATAAAATTTTTTAAAAGAATGTTTACATTGACATGAGTAACAATATTGAATGGTCACTTCAGGTGGACATAAAGCTTTGCTGATTTCAAGAACAGTTTCTGGAAAAAGACAGTAGAAAATATTTCAAGTTTGACATTTCTCCAATGTATTTACTATTAAGGATCCAGAGAAAAGAAAAAGATGGGAAGTGAATACAAGTTCAAGGTAATAGGGCTGCATCTTCTCTCACTTTAAGGCGGAGACTTCCAGATCTCCCAAAAAACAATCTTGCCAATACTTTTCTCATTGTGCCTACCAACTGCTTCAAGTCAATGGAAGATGTACAGTCAGAAGGCTTGTGTTTGAACATCAACTCTGATCCTTACAACCTATGTCACCTTGGACAAATCACAATTTGAATGAGTTTCAGAATTTCCTCATCTGTAAAATGAGGAGATTGGATCTCAAACTGCATTCCCTTCCAGCTTTGGATATTGTATTATTATTATTATTACAATGCTAACATTTACATAGTGTCTACTATGTGCCTGGCACTCGGCTAAGTAAGTGCTTTATAATTATTATGTTGTTTGATCCTCACAACAGTTCTGGGAGGCAGGAGGTATTATTATCTCCATTTTGCAGTTAAGAAAACTAGAATAAATAAAGGTCAAGTGACTTGTCTAGTGTCACACAACTAGTAAGTATCTGAGGATGGATTTGAACTCCAGATCTTACTGACTCCAGGCTCAGCACGCTATCCACTGCACCTCCCAGCTGCCTAGCATCCCTCTGCTGGGATCTGTGGCCCTGAAGTTCAAATTTACTTCCCCCACTCTCCTTTCAAGTCTACATCTGCCCCCAAGTCTTCTCTTTCCCACTGAGCCCATCTTCCTTCAGCTTCCCTTCTTTCAACTTTTATTCATAAATCTGAGGCTTCTTCCATTGTCCCCTTTCCACCAGGGAATATTCCCTTCTACCAGCAATTCCTCTGTTCATGTGACGGGCACAGCTGACTGAACTTTGGGGAAAAGACGCACAATAGTTTATATGCTGTGCACCTCCTTTGCTTAAAGATGCAGAAAACACTAACTGTTTAGCATGCTTGGCACATAGTGTTTGCTAAATGCCTGTCAGAAATGAAGGCTGCATAAAATGTGTACTCTACATTTGCATCTCTCAGACTGGGCAACTGAATTCATGTTTTTTTTTTAATTTCAAAAGGTCATAGGTGAACTTCCTGTGTCTTTAATTCAAGTCCTAGCAACTCCTTAGATGTAAAACCCTGTGGTACTGGCAGACAGGCGACTTGGCTAAGAGATCAAGAACTGACCTGACCCTCTGCAAAACCCTGGCACCTCCTTAGACACTGACTGAGGGACTTCTGTTGAGAACTGCTGCATCACTATAAAGTTAACTGAACTGTGGAGGCAGAAGAGCTATTTGTTCTTTTAAATAGTCTACTCTTAATAGTATATTAGGAAGGAAGAAAGGAAGGCAAGAAGGAAGGGAGGGAGGGAGGAAGGGAGGGAGGGAAGAAGGAACCCAGGTTGTTTGATTTCCTCCTAGGCTACACTGCAGTCATCCTTCTTCTGAACATCTGAGAACAAGTGAATCACAAAGGTACCCAAGTAAAACCTACTTTCCTTTGCACCTCTGATCTTTAAACAATAATATGGGACTTAGATGATTACTAAGTCAGGTTCATTCTGCCTGTTGCTTCCCCTGCCCCTCCAAATCCTGGCATCATGGTACGTTCTATGCATCCTGAGTGACTGAAAACACAGAACTCATAACACTCACCCTCATCTTTTGGCACTTACCTCTTCTCCGGGGCTGTTGCTAGCCTGTCCAGGGGGCTGAAAGGCTTCCTCCTTTTCTCGTGTCTTTCCAGGCAGTGGGATCTTCTCCAGGGATGGTGATGATCTTCCCTCAGGAAAGTGATCCAGGACAGTGGCCCACTCTGACTCATTCCCTCTTGCCAGGTGATCTAACCTGGTGTTCCCATTCTCTTTCTCTGCCAGAGAATGGCCATTTCCCACAGAGGAATTGAAAGGACCTTCAGTGTTTGGCAGTAGACCCCAGTCCATGTAGTCAGCACCACCCTTTGGCACCTGCTTGCCACTGGACTGGAAGGAGTCAGGCTCCATCTCCCTATAGTCATCTGTATACTCAGGTAACTCTTCTAAGCTATGGCCCTTCCCCAAGAAGGGTAAGTCTCTAAGTCTGCTAGCCTCCTCAGACGGGCCTCCTGGAATCGCCATGGGATGACCCCTATTGGGCATCATCTGTCCATATCCTAGTAAGGAGGGTGGTCTCTGCGCTGGCCGCAGCACAAAAGTTAGATAGGACTTAACAGGGTCTATTGTCTTGGGCTCACAGCTCTCCTGGTGCTGGCAGTTCACAACGTAGCACCGACCTTCAACCAACCAGGCCAAGTCACAGCTGGGCAGGTCACAGCAGGCAGCTGTGCAGGCAGCCAGAGAACTGACTTGAGGCACCCGCATGATTTTGGTGGTTTCCAGATTTGGGGAAATAACTGCATTTGAGTAGGTTCCTCCATCCCTACACTTCTCACAGAGGTAACCTGTAAACAAGGTAGGCTGAAGTTAGGCAGAGGAACACTCACCCCACCGGCATCCCATAGCAAGGCAAAACAGCTTACAAGACTGGGAAACATTTTTCTGCAAGGAGAAGGAAAAGAATAAGCATTTATTAAGTGCCTATTGTGTGCCAAGCACGGTGCTAAGCTGAGGTTTGATCCCATGTCCACCAGTGGCACTGCTTTTGAGCTTCTCCATCATGCCACTGCACCAGGTATCTTCTTCGCCTTCAGGATGACACCCTGACTCCCCCCTCCCATACTTTCTAGCTTCCTTTTGTGTGTTGTTTTCTCCCACTCATTTGAAAGCTCCTTGAGGGCAGGAACTGTCTTTCTATTTGTACTTCTATCCCCAGAACTTCACATAATGCCTGGCGTAGTAGGTGCTAAACAGATGTTTATTAATTGATTAATCTCCATAACAATTCTGTGAGGTAGGTGCTATTATGAGCCCTATTTTACAATTGAGGAAATTGAGGCAGACAAAGGTCAAGTGACTTATCTAGAGTCACATAGCTAATGGGGTATAGGCCCAAGATGACTCCCCCCAAAAAAACCTTCTTTGAACTTTACTTGAACTTTTTTAGTCTAGCAGTCTCCTAAGGCTATTCTTATTCCTAACAACTGGCCTTTCCTTGTCCCCTATGCCCAATCTCCCAGCCACTTCCCATCCTTGATTGTATCTAGATCCCATTCACCTCCCTAAACTCCTCCTCCAGTCACCCCAGCTTACTGACCACTCCCATCAAGACACTCCTCCCAGCCCCTCCTCCAGTCACCCCAAACTACTTGGCCATTCCTAGATCTCTCCCATAGTCTTTCAGTATATAAGATCCATCCTGGCCAACATTTAGTGGCTAAGACTTCCTCACACCCACTTTTCCTTACGAGCGTCACAAATGTTCAGACTCCTTAAGAGTCTGGCCTATATGGCTGATTTTTAATAAACCTTGTCTTTGGCTGAAAGAAGGCTTGGGTCGAATTCTTTCGGGCAGGACCTGCGTGTTGTGATTTTGGGGTCCCAGCACCCCTAAACATCTAAACCTCAACATAGCTATTAAATGAATGAGGCTGAATTTAAACTCAGGTCATCCTAACTCCAGGCCCAACTCTCTGTACACTGCACCAAGTAGCTGCCTAAAAGAAGACAGAGAAGTTCTTTCAGGCTTATTTAGGATGAACCTGATATAGTTCAACATATTGTTATATTCAGATGGAGGTTTAGTCTACAGGAGGAAATGCAGTGCAATAGAAAGCGCTTTGGGCTTGGAGTCAGAAGACCTAAATTAAAAATAAATTATTTCTGTATCCCAAAGAGATCATAAAAATGGGAAAAACATGTACAAAAATATTTGTAGTAGCCTTTTTTTTTTACAATTATTTTTATTAGCCATTGGTGACTGAACAAGTCCCATAATCCCTCGTCTTAGCTGCTTCACTCTTTTCTTTATTAATTTATTTTATCAATAATCACTTCCATAAGCTTTTGAATTTTAAATTTTTCTCCCCCTCCCAACCTGCCTCCCTCCCAAAGACAGTGTGCAATCTGATATAGGCTATATATATATATACATATTCCTATTAAACATTTTCACATTAGTCATGTTGTAAGGAAGAATTTGAGTCAATAGGAGGAACCACAAGAAAGAGAAAACAAAACAAAACAGTAGAAAAAAAATAACAAATAGTATGCTTTGATCTGCATTCAGATCTCCATAGTTCTTTCTTTGGATGTGGATAGCATTTTCCATCATGAGACTTTGGAGATGTCTTAGATCATTGCACTGCTGAGAAGGGCTAAGTGTATCAAAGGTAGTCATCGCACAACGTGGCTGTTACTGTACAACATTCTCTTGGTTCTGCTCACTTCACTCAACGTCAGACCATACAAGTCTTTCCAGGTTTTTCTGAAGTCTGCCTGCTCATCATTTCTTAGAGCATAATAGTATTTCATTGCATTCATACACCACCATTTGTTCAGCCACTCCCCATTTGATGGGCATCCCCTCATTTCCAATATTTTGCCATCACAAATCTTTTTGTGGTGGCAAAGACCATAATTTTTGTGGTGGCAATCAGACCATATTTTGCCATCACAAAAAGGGCACTTTTTGTGGTGGCAAAGAATTGGAAATTCTTTGTATGAACTGATGCAGAGTGAAGTGAGCAGGACCAGGAGAACATTGTACACAGTATCTGCAACATTGTGTGATGATCAACTATAAATTACAACTCTTCAGCAACACAATGATCCAAGACAAGTACAAAGGACTCACAAAGGAAAATGCTAGCCATATCCAGATAAAGCATTGATGGACTCTGAATGCAGAACAAATGGTATTTTTTCACTTACTTTATTCTTTCTTGTGTTTTTTTTTCTTTGATATGTTTCTTCTTTCACAACTGTGACTAATATGGAAATAAGTTTTACATGATAGTATATGTATAAACTATATCAAACTGCCTACCATTTCAGAAGAGGGGAGGGAAGGAGAAAAATTTGGAACTCAAAATCTTGTAAAAATGAATGCTAAAGGGGGCAGCTAGGTGGCGCAGTGGATAGACCACTGGCCCTGAAGTCAGGAGGACCTGAGTTCAAAAGTGACCTCAGACACATAATATTCACTAGCTATGTGACCCTGGGAAAGTCACTTATCCCCATTGCCTAACCAAAAAAAAAAAAGCTTATATGTTATATTTTTAAAAAATTAATGCTAAAAATTTTCTTGATATGTAACTGGGGGAAAAAATAAAATACTATTAAACTTAAAAAAAGAACCAGAATTTTCTTTATCACATTACAAAAGCTGGCTCCATCTTGAATCCCTTGCTGATCTCCAATGATTAGCCCATCAATTTGATGTACTTTAATAAACTCCTTTTAATTCTCTTTGTCTTGAATTTTGCCTCATTAATCAGAGTAGGGGAAAAGCCAGAACAAAGCATTTTCTCTTTAACAAATGTCCAGCAAAAGCTAGATCCTTTTGAGGGCATTCACCCCTGGTTATCACTGTGGGCAGGCCTGCTACACCTCTCTCCAGGATGGCAATGAAACTCACTGCTGAAATTAAGCTGGAGTGAATCTTCCCTCCCTCGCCCCCCCTCCCCTTAATTAAGCTGTGAAGTGGTGGAGGATCTAACTCCCTCAAACTCAGAATGTATAAAGGAGAAATAGTTTCCAAAATCTAAACTTTGATTTTATTTTTCACTTGCACATGAAAAAGGAAAGGCTCAAGGGGAGAGGCCAGCAAGTATGGGACTTGCAGGTATTTGCGTGAGAATAGTGGTATTCATAAAGGAAGCAAGACTCCTGGGTTAGACAAACAGTAATCGTTTGGGAAATCCTGTCCACACCTGAGAGGTGAGGTTCAGCGTGGTCTGGGAAAATTATGTGGCAAAAAGAAAATAATTTTTCAGCCAGATAAGGGATGGGACCTTTGTACTTAGTCTAATGCACATTCTAAATTTGATTTAGAGGTCTATAGCCTGAGCAAGGATGTTGAAAGAGGCTTGGAAATAGCAATTGCTCTTCATTATCATAGAAATAAAACCAGAATACCCTCTGGAGTAAAAAGGAAAAAGGGGAAAGGATTAAGGAATGGAAAGGGAGATTTGAAAAATTCCATGGAAGAGAGACCCACCCCCAGCCATCTGGGAACACCAACCCCACCCCCACCACCACTTAGGTCCAGACCCTCTAAGGGATAAGGGGGAAAGATATTCACAACGAGCAGGGAGGGAAAGATGACTAGGAACTACTCTGTGAACTAGGTATTAGTTCTATAGATAGTCTGGGATATGATTAGTAAAGGAAGTGTTAGATCATAATGATGGGGTTGGGATCTGGGCCCCAGAAAGGAAAAACCTGGACTTTCCCACATGGCTAAATCTCTGGTGTTCACCTGAGGCTATATCCCATCAACTGGTCTTTCATTGTGGCTACACCCAATCTCCCCTCCATTGTCTTACCTCCCTATGTATGGCCCCCAGCCGTTTCCCACCCTTAATCCTAACTAGGCTCCATTCTCCCTTAGTCCAGGTCCCAGGAGTTCTGTTCACCCCAGCTTACTGGCCACTCCGAGGTCCCTCCCACAGTCTTTCTGTATGTAAAGTCCACTTTGTCTCCATTAATATGCTTAGATTCGGGGCAGTTAGGTGGTGCAGTGGATAGAGCACCAGCCCTGAAGTCAGGAGTACCTGAGTTTGAATCTGGCCTCAAACCAAACACTTGACACTTACTAACTGTGTGACCCTGGGCAAGTCACTTAACCCCAATTGCCTTAAAAAAAAAAAAGATACTTAGATTCTTAAAATCTAGCCATGGCTCTGATTCTTATAATCCAGTCATGACTCAGATTCTTAAAATCTAGCCAATGCTGGGATGCTTATAATCTAGCCACTGCTTACCCATGTTCAGACTCCTTAAGAGTCTGCCCAATACGATGGATGTTCTAATAAACCTTGTCTTTGGCTGAAAGTAGGATTGGGTCAAATTCTTTCGGGCAGGACCTGTGTGTCATGATTTTGGGGTCTCAGCACCCCTGAACCCCTAAACTGCATCAATAATGTGAAAGAAACAAGAGAGGTGCAGTTTTGAAGGGTTTTAAGCTAAATGTACAGAAAGGGGCAATAAAGTTTGAGGAAGCTAGGGAGAAGAGGAAGTGAGTAGAAAGTTAAGAAAAGTTGTAGTCTGAGTAAAGGCTTTTGGAGACTTAGAACGAGAGAAATGAGGAAGGGTTTTGAGCTCATTCAAATAAAAAGGATATGAGAAACTTTATTTGATTACTCTTTCTGATACGCATCTGGAAATTCCTGAACTTTCTAACTGGGGGATGCTTAGGGTCACTCCTTATCTGAAAAGCTTTAAGGACAGGTAAAAGAGGATGGGAACTATTTCATGGACTCTGGAGAACAGATCAGGTTCTTTGGGAGGTTTGAAAGGAAATAGAGATTAGGTTAAAGGGAGCTGGGAGTGCCTCTACTTG